CATACGACAAATGTGACTTGGTCGTTAGTACGTTACATACGTCTTGTAATTATGTGTATTTACTATTTACATCCGAGTCACATTTCCTACGGCCGCCGTGTGGTCTATCATCTCTGCGGTCAGTAGCTTTTCTACGCTCATCGTAGAATTTCTGCGCCCTCATTATTTTGCAGTCACATTTCCCACGGCAGCGGCACGGCGAATTTAAAATTTCTGTTGATAAATAATACTTATTTCATTTTATTCACATCAGGACAATTTATAAAAGTTATTCATGGAGCTAGGATGTAATATCAAATTAAAAGTGTTCGTGAAACATTGACAAATAATGATTTAATCTTGTTGAGCCAGTTGATTCTACGGGCACCGCAGAAATGAACAAATATTATAACTCCGAGTTATAATTTTTACGGCGACCCTGTGGCCTGTAAAAACTAGATACGCCGTACGGAGACCGCAAGGCGAGCGTAGTTTTCCTACGCTCGCCGCAGAAATACACTTATTTAATTGATCTGCAGTCGACGTACGGCCGCCGTACGACAAATGTGACTGGGGTGTAACAGAGCGTTGTGTATTTGGGAAATCATTCAAAAATGTATGAAAATGAGCATTGTAATCTATAGTCTAGTTACATACATTAGCTTTTTTGTAAACTTGAAAGGTGTTAAATATGTTTGAAGCCTATCATAGCAGGACTGACTAATAGAAAAACATGGTATGTGCTTGTTATGTTACCATGTCGTTGTTGTTTGTAAACAACTGATGTCACAACAACATTTCATCTTACACGAGTGTATATTAGGATGACTGGCGGCTAAAATATTTGTATGGCATACATTTAATCGAAGTAAGTCATGTATTAGAATATGTTTAGAAATAAATAAGTATATGTATGTTACATACCACTATACATCCCCACGTAGAACAAACGGGTACTGTTGCCTCTTGGCCAGCAAAAGCACTCATTATAAACGGTGTATTACGACCTCCAATGATGTAATCCCATAATTTGCTGTTTGCAGACATCATTGATGTTTTCTAAATTTTAAAAAGTTCATTTAGTGCAAACAAAAAATTTCAGTAAGGCCTAAGTTAATGTCCTGTTTAAGAACTTCTAGTTTATTTCCTATTGAAAATGGATTATGGCAATTTTATCCCACATGAATCTACTTCTTGAGACTCGATTAGCTTGAGTTTTTCCCCGAGAAAATTGGGATTTTGTATTTATCCCCCTGGTGACATACATGATGGTTTCCCGATGCCAAGTTGGATACTATATTGCGAGAATTCATTTTCAATAGTAAGAATATAGGTTCTTAAATACAACATAAGCTTACTTTTTAGAACTTTTAGCTGGTTCTAATTTTTTTATCCATTCTTAATCGTCACCATGATACGCACATTTAGTCCATTTGTCACCCCTAGACATCCAATAGTGAACCTAGAAATTCTTAAAAGTACGATGTTTTATGGTCGATTTATGATAATAAGGGTTTTCTGAAGTGATTTAACTGGGTTGCTAAAAAAGTTTGTTTGGGAGAAAGTTATATAGGCTGATTAGGGAGGGGTGCAATCGCTTAAAGTGTGCGCCAAAGTTTAAAACTGCGCAGGCGCACCGCTCTCGCTAAACTATATAAAGAGATTACCGGGTACACGATTCAGAGGTAAGCCAGGAAGGCGAACGATCTTCGTCTCGTGATGATTTCCCATATAATCGTAACCAGGGAAGTTTCACCATTGAAATTAAAAATTACTATTAGATATACTTTGTAGATGTTATTTATGAAGCTATTTAGTGTTTGCATCAATCAAATGGCTCATTTTGAACATATAAAAAGTATTTGTGTTTTGTTTCCCAGGGAATTGTATTGTATGTATGTAGTACACACATAAATAGTGTACATTATACAGTACTTGAATAGCCTGGTTTACATAATATTGAAGGGCATGCTGATTACATGCACACGAGTACATGAATGAAGGCCTAATATTGATATACGTAGCTTGCATACCTAAATAAAAAATAAACTCTTCTAATCCCCTAATGTAAACACGGCGGTATACGTAGCCCGATTTATCGGGGACTTTAACATGGCGTTGACTATTGACTAGCGTCGGGATACCACCATATACCTAGTATGTTACCATAGGAATAGATACAAAATTTTGACCCAAAGTTATTTATTTGGCAACCCAGCTAAATCACTCCAATAATCCCTAATGATAGTATTTACGCAGAAAAACATCATACTTTTAACTATTCATACGTTCAGAAAATGACAAATGGACTAATTGGGATTAGACAACTTTGGGGCCAGCAAGTGGAAACAAACGATTCAGAAAAATACTACACTGTTTTGCTTCTATTCGTCAGTGCATACTTGTAAAAGGATCTTGTGGATAAGAATGAGTTATTTCGAAAACCTTAATACATAAGTTGAACTGGTTCATTTTGGTCAAAATTCCTTAAGTATTGTATTTAAACTCAAAATAATGTTTCATCCACGCTAATCCCATGCGCATAAATCATGATTTTCTGAGCAACTAATGCCTTGGTCATATTTGCTCTGATTTTCACTACGGCGCCCGGCCGATTGAGTATTTTGTTCAGAAATGTATTTAATTTTGAACAAATTACTCAATCGGCCGATGAATCGCAGCTAATGTGACCCAGGCATTAGTATACCTATTATTTCACCTATTGTTTCATCTGGTAACTTGAGCATCGATATATAATATACCAATATTTGATTAAAATTCACCTAGAACTATTTACTCACCGGTAAACATGGATCAAGTTCGAGTCTGAATAATGGAAACAAGTCAGTGGCATTGTTGACATCTATAACTGCCTGCTGTGCGAACTCACATGCGTCATAAAATAATGGATACGAGCTAAAAATAAGATTTCCTATCAGAATAGTATCTCGTTTTCCAAGGTCGTCACCAATACCAGGAGAAGTGTTGACATCGAAAGATGTAGCATTGCCCACAAAATGCGACGTCCAATCAGATCTTGAAGTCGGAGTACCAGTTTCCCCAAACGGGGTCAATAATACAATGCAAACAAAATATAGCATACAAAAATGAATGGCCATGGCGGCTGCCTAACTGCGTTTTAAAGTAAATGTATTACTTTAGTGGATATGAGAGCGTCTTACTTTTTTAAAACGTTATCATTGCGTTATGCTATGCTATTAAGTGGAACGTGTTTTTCAGCGTATAATGAATAGATGTGCTTTAGTTAGTTCTATTTCACGTACATAATAGAGAGGTTAAAGATTGTTTATAACTATCAAAGTGATGTTCACCCCTTTTCAATAATTCAAAGCCTTAATACAGCGCGTTGCTGTGTATAAATTACATGGATCCTTACTACAATATTTTGTAGCGAACACTCATCTTTCATTCCATGTAAAGAAAACATAAATTGATAAAATATTGTCCAAGTGGGAGCTGTTACAATAACACCTATTTTAGTCAATTTTTAGAACGTTTCGTCCAGTGTAATTAATGTGGGATGTGGAACAGTGAGTGACTTTCACTTTCTTTTTGAAGCACTTTGACATTCAATTCTAAATCGAAGTGCATTTATTAGATTTAGTTAATAAAAAGGAATCAAATTGAAGATTATGCCCAAACAATCATTTTTAACATTTTCTAAGGCCTGGATACACATCCTTCAACGAGGCGTACAGCCTTTTTATTTTTTTCGTGAAGCCACTCAGTAAAATTACGATTTCCCTGCAACCCGATGCCCAATCAAGATCATTCAAGTATCTATGGCAATAACAACGTCTACATAAACTTTGCACGCGAAATTGACGTAATTCATGACTGAAATCGGGAAGACAAAATTTGAGATTCACAAACAAAATGCTTGTGAAAACTATTTACAAAAATGTTCCAGAGACTCTTATCTACTTGGCTAAGGTTTTATTTTAAGATTCATTACCTTATTTAGCAGGTAGAGGGGCATCAGAACACGGTCTATCATTTCTGCGGCCAGTAACATTTCT